TTCTCCTCCTCCTCCTCCTCTTGCTCATCCTCCTCCTTCTCCTCCTTGTCCTCCTGCGCACCGCCCTCCCGCGCACAGTCGCCTGCCTGAGCCGACGGTGCCGGCGTGCGCGCACACTCCAGCTCTCGGGGCTCAAGAGACGGGGGTCAATGTAAACAGGGGTCCGCCAGGGCACTGGATCCTGCAGGATCCTGCGAAGACCTCCTCTGGCTGACCCGGGTCAGCGAGCCGCTCGTTGCCGCGAGGCGGCCGCGCATATTGGCTGACCCGGGTTTGCGAAGACCTGCGTTGTAGTTTCTTTTCCTGCATTGCAGTTTTTGGTTTTCTGCTGACCCGGGTTTGGATTGACCCGGGTCAGAAGATCCCCGAAGCTCGGCCCCTTTTCCTCGCCGCCTCCTCCCTCCCAGACTCCCAGACCCCCGACGTCATGAGTTTGTCATAACGTCGGCCCCCAGAGGTCTGGACCCCTTCTTCGGGTGTTGCTGGAGGTGCTCCCACCCCGGCCCACGGTGACCCCAGCTCTTCGCTCCATTTTGGAGCTCCTGGGGCCCTCCGGGCCTTGTGAGGGGTGCCCTGAAGGCCGCCGGGGCCTCCTGTCAAACCCCGAGGGCGCCCTGGGCCAGGGGCACTTCTAGCACACCCGGCTTCCCTGGAACGACTGGCTCCTCATCCCGAGTCTCAGAGGACGCGTATTGTGGGGGGGCGATAAATGTGGGGGCGGCGAGGGCTGCCGAAAAGGGGCCCTTTGAGGGCCCCTCAGGGGACCCTTTGGGACCCCAAAGGGGGCAATCAGGGTCCGAGAAGGGCACCTTTCTCCCCCCCCACTCTATTGCGGGATGACGATTAATAAAAAAACGGGAGAGAACGACTAAACAAATAGTCTTCTGCTATTTCTGCACAATTTTCTGACTGGAGGAGAACGATAAAAAATAGTTCTCCAGCCCGCGGCCGGTTTTTTCTAATCGTCATCCCGGGCGCCGCCGCGTGAACACGACCCCCGGTCATTTATAAATCGTCATCCTCCATTATCGCCACCCCGCTTCCCTGAGATCCGACGGCGCGAAGAAAATGAGACATCGCGAGAAGTCACCTGAAGCCCTAGACACCACCGCTCTGCGCCGTTTCTCGAGCCGGCTCGATCTGTGAGGGCCCCGTGTCCCGAAGCCCGACGACGGGAACGCCCGGCTCGAACAAGCTGAGAGGTCTGGATCTCAGGGCAACTCGCGCCCAAGGGACGTTTTTCGATCGTCCTGGGGCCCGGCTGGGGCCGCTGGAGGCCGAGGACAGCGAACAAATACCCTTCTGTCGTCGTCGTCGTCGTTTTCGTCGTCGTCGTCGTCGTTTTCGTCGTCGTCGTCGTCGTCGCCGTCGCCGTCGTCGTCGTCGAGGGGTCTGGGCTCCCACGCCGCGTGCCGTGCTGCCCGTCGCGCCACCTCCCCTCTCTCTGCCGCGGCCCGCCCTCGCGACAGCCGCTTGCCGCCAAGAGCCCCCCTTGCGCTTTGGGCATCGCTCGGGCGCGTGCGTGTTGTTGCTCCCTCGGCGGGGGCCATCGAGGAGCCTTGTGGACCACCTCGCGACGAGACGAGGAAGAAAACATCAGCACGAGGAGCCGCACCCATCCCCCAGAGAAAGAAAACATTAGCATGAGGAGGTGAGGAAGAACACATCAGCATGAGGAGCCGCGAGAAGATGATGGGCTCAAAGATGGCCGAGCCAAAAAATGAGCACCTCGCGAAAAATCCGCGCGCGAACTCGAGACAGGCACGGCACCCTTCCCCCGTTTCTCCGCTTCTCGGGCCTCCCGGGAGGCCCTCGTCGCCACCGCTTGATTCGCTTCGAGATTCTGGTCAGAACGCACCCTGGGAGAGGTCTGGGGAGTAGCGGCATCGGCACCTCTTGGTTATCCGAAGAGCGTCCCAGAGCCTTTGGGACGGCCGCGGCGCTCGATACACATCCTCTAGGAGCGTGTTCCTTTATTTCTTGGGGCATAATGTGCATTAGATCCCCCGGCCACCCCCTTACATTATACCCCCCCTGGCCTCTCCCCCCTATAATGCCCATTATCGCCGAAAATGAAAGAATACGCTCAAGAGCCGCAGGATTTGGGAGACCCCCGATTTCTGTGCTGGTCCGATGCTTTTGTCCTGGTCCTGGCCTCGTCTCGGCAGGAGATGGGTGACAAGGTGGACTCTGGTGATAATGGCAGTGGTGAGGGGGCGCACGATGGGGAGACGGACGCGGAGGAGGAGGAGAGGGAGGAGGAGGGAGGAGGAGAGGAGGAGGAGGAGTGGAGGAGGAGGAGGAGGAGGAGGAGGAGGAGGAGGAGGAGGAGGAGGAGGAGGAGGAGGAGGAGGAGGAGTACGGTGAGGGAAGGAGTAGCAGCGGCAGCGGCACCAGCATGAAGAGCAGACGAGGCAAGGGAGTGCAGGATTCAGTTGGCGATGATGCGCGCCATGAAGAAGATCTGCAGAGTGCTGCGGCACATGAGGACCGCGCTTCGCTGCCCCTCGCCGCGCCTTCTCGTGCCCTCGCCGCCTGGCTGTGACCGGGGGACCGGATCTCGAGCCGGTGCACGGCGCACCAGACGATGCTCGCATGGATGACATGCCACGCTCCTTCATCATCCGAGCTGTGCCTTCAAAGACATCGGGCGTCTCGAAAAAATCGAGACGAAGGTTTTCGTCGTTTTCGGCCCCTCGGGGCCCTCGCCGGGCCTCGGGACCGTCAAACAATGACTCGGGATGAAAAACTGGTCCTGGGGAAGTGGTCGGGAGGTCGGGGGCCCGTGTCTCGAAAAAATCGAAACGTTGGATGTCTGGGTTTGTGCATGGAGTGAGGGCCAGCCTGATTTCGTAAACACAAGGGCGGTTAAGTTCGAAACGGGATTTGTTCCTCACCTCCCGCTGGCAAGACCTTGAGCCAGACCTCCCGCTGGCCCCGCATTCTCGTACCGCTTGTGAGGAAGGGTCAGGATCTACGACACGGACACACCTCATGTAGCGCTGGGTCCTCCTCCCTTAGTGGGCCCTGGAAATGACAGGGCCGTTTTTTTGCCGGTTCCGTTTTGCCGTTTTTTGCCCGTTCCGTCGCCGTTTGGTTCTTGGCTCCGTCTCCGCTTGTTTTTTGGTTCTGGCTCCGGCTCCAATCCTGGAGCCGCTGTGGTGCTGCTTCCAGTCGCCGCTTTTCTGCCGTTTTTCCACATTCAAGAGACAGCTGTTCGAAAACGGTGGAACAAACGGCCCTGCCGCTTCCAAGGCCCACGAAGCCTCCTCCTCACACCTCACCTCCTCCTCCTCCGCACCTCCTTCCTCGGCCGCTCCGCCTCGTGCGACGCGCCGCGACCCCCGCATCCGGCCCGCGGCCCGCGGAGACCCCGGACACCGCAGGAGTCGCCGGCAGCTGGCTTGTCTTCCTCCTCTTCCCCTCCGCCTCCTGAGGGGGCCATTGCGAAGGCCTTACGGCCGTTGCCGCCGACCCTGAGAGCAACGAAGATGAAAACGATGGGGGGCGGGGGGGGCAGGGTGGAGGAGGTGGATGAGAGAGGAGGAGGGGAGAAGGACGTGGAGGAGAAGCAAGAGGAGAAGAAGGAGGCAGAGGAGAGCAGGAGGAGGGGGAGCAGAGGGGGGGGGGGGGTGGAGGAGGAGGAGGAGGGAGGAGGAGGAGGAGGAGGAGGGAGGAGGAGGAGGAGGAGGAGGAGGAGGAGGGGGAGGGGAGGGAGGAGGAGGAGGAGGAGGAGGAGGGGGAGGAGGAGGAGGAGGAGGAGGATGATGATGAGGAGGAGGAGGAGGAGGAGGAAGAGGAGGAGGAGGAGGAGGAGGGGGAGGAAGAGGAGGAGGCCAGATGCTTTCTTGGGACAGCCTGTGGCTCTCCTGAGGCCGTCTGGGGCCGTCCAGGGCTCCACTTGCGCCGTCTCGAAGCACTCTTGGAGGCCTCCTGGGCAATTTGGGGCTCTCCTGGGCTGTCTTGGGGCAGTTTGGGGGCCCCTTGGGAGCGTCTTGGGACCTCTTGGGGCTTCTTCGGGGCCGGGGCCTTTTGGGGCTGAGAGCTCGAAATGTCCGTTCGGGTCCCCCGTCTGGGCACACTCCTGGAGCCGTCTTGAGAGCCTCTTGGGCCGTCTTGGAGGCGTCTTGGGCCGTCGTGGGGCCCTTTTCGGCCGTTAGGGGACCTTCTTGGGGGCCTCTTGGGCCGTCTCGGGGCGATCTTGGCGGCCTCTTGGGCCGTCTTGGCGCGTCGGGAAGCGGAAGGCGTAAGAACGCCAAAATCTTTCAAAAACGTATCGGAAATCCATGAATGTTGCCTCTTGGGGCTCTCGTGAGAAAGCTCCTGGAGGCCCCTTAGAGGCGCTTTGCAGGCCTCTTGGGCCGCCTGGAGGCCGTCAAGGCGACTTGGACAGATCGTTCGGCGATTCGGGGTTCTCTGGGACTGTCTTTGGGGCCTCTTGGGGCACTCTTGGCCAATCTTGGGGCTTTTTGGGGCTCCGGGACCGGGGACTCCAAGGGGGGGGCGTCGCATCTGACCCCCCCCCGGGGCGTCTGACCCCCCCCCCCCCCCCCCGGGACTCCTCCCTCCGGCGGCGGGGGATGGATCGAAGGGAAGGAGCTTCCCTTCGACTCAATTGCGACGTTCTTTATTTTCGCTGTGGCTGGCGCGCTGAGGAGGTCCCTGGGAGAGGGGGGGGGAGGCAGGGAAAGTGGACGACAGAGACGACGACCAACGAATGACGGAGATGACGACTTGAACGGACAGGCCCCTCACACACGCCGACAGGGTCGGCGGATTTTCCACCACCACGACCATGGGAAGGAGAGGGAGAAGGAGGAGGAGGAGGAGGAGGAGGGGAGGGAGGAGGAGGAAGAAGAAAACCTCCCCATCCTCCCTTCGCCTGCCCCTGCCTATGCGAGCGGTGGCGGAAAAGTGGCCCAGCACCTCCTCCTGCCCTCCTACCGCCGAGACGCGTATCTCCTGGGGGAATTTTGTGCTCACCGTCCCAAAATAGTCTGGGGACGACTTGTGGGGCCTTTTTTGTCTTCTTTTTGGGGGCCATTTTCTTTTTCGTACATGTTTGATTTGTCGCCCAAGGTCCGCCCGTAGGGGAACACGCCCGGCCTACCGCTAGGCTTATGTCGGGCCTGTCCCCCTACAGGGGGATTCCGACGGAACAAAAAAGGACCCCAAACATAATCAAAAAATGCGCCCAAAATAATACGGGGAGCATTTTCTGTGTATTTTTGTTGACTTTTTTGGCATATTCGTGGGGCCTGCTCCTCTTCTCCTCGAGAAGGCCCCTGTAGGGGGACGCGCCCGGCCTCGCGCCAGGCGCTTCTCCAGCCCGCCGGCGCCCCACCTGGGGCCTGTGAACTGCGAAACTGTCGCCAATTTCGAGGGCTGCTAGGGGGCCAGCATGGTTCGGACTCAGATTAGACCTCGCCATTCCTAGGGGGATGCGAACTGCGAAACTGTCGCCACTTTCGAGGGCAATCCGGGCAGGGGGCCCCCGCCGGCCGCTCTGCGCGAGGTGTGCTCCGCCGCGGGGGGGGGGTCGGTCCCGGGAGCCCCCCGGGCGCGGAGCGAGGGCCCCCCCGACGCGGGGGGCGACGAGGATTTCAGCGGGCGTGCCCCTCTACAGTGAAGTCGGGCCTGTCCCCCTACAGGGGGATGTTCGACGAACGATGGAACATACCCCCAAAAATAATCGAAACACCGTCCAAAAATAGTCCGGGGACTATGTTTTGAGTATTGGTTCACCTTTTTGGGGCATTTTTGGGGTATCTTTCATTTTTCGTCGAACACCCCCCTGTAGGGGGGCACGCCCGACATAACCCTACATGAAGGATCTTCAAAAACAGTACAAAGATAGTAAGGGGAGTTTTTTTAACAAAACATGCATGTTTGAATCTTGGGTATTTGCTTGCACATTTTTTATTTTTCGTCAAATGTCCGCCTGTAGGAGGACATGCCCGACCTCCACGAAGACTCTCCGTCATTCTCTCTCCTTTCTTCAACCCAGAGGTCCGGCGCTCCCAAAAATCGGAGCGGGCGGTGTTTGGCCGATTGCGGCCTTTCGGGGGCCCTCGCCGGGCCTCGGGGCCGCAACAAAGCCGACGCGGCACGAAAAACTGGCCCTACCCGGACCCCCGACGTCATGATTTTTTCATAACGTCGACCCCCAGGTCTCGATCCATTCCCCGGGACCAGTGCTTCATCCTGGGCTGTTGCTCGACGGTCCTGGGGCCCGGGGAGACCGAAAACATGGAAGACCTTCCGTCGTGATTGGTTCACGACGCGAGGGGCTCTGGGTAGGGAAGTGGCCCAGACCTCCAGGGCCCACGCGTCGAACAAAAAACATAGTGAGGCAGCCGGATGTCTGGGCCCCCCACGGGACCCCGAGGACGACGAGGACGCACCGCGACCTGGCCAGAGTCGACGCCATGGAGGCACAGCGCCACCCGGCGACCGCGCCCCCCGTCCGCCGCGCTCTCTTCCTCGGCGGATGTCCAGGAGAGCGGGGCAGAGGGGCGTGGGGGAAGGGACCCCGACACCAGGCGTCTCGAAAGACTCGAGACGGAGATGTTTCGTGGCCTTCGGCCTCTCGGGGCCCTCGCCGGGCCTCGGGGTACCGTCGAGGAGCGGCTCGGGGCGGAGAGCTGGCCCCTGGGAGGCGGTCGGGAGGCCGGGGGCCCGTACAGCTCGAGACGTCGGATGTCTGGGGAGGGAGCGAGGATTGTTTTGAGGGGGAAGTTCGACGCTGATGAAGTGCTGAGCCTGTCGGCAGCGGCCGGCGCGCAGAGATCATAACAGCTCTGCACGGGCACCCAGGTTCCAGCAAGCAGGCAGGCGGCACCAGCTGGGCAGCAATAGAGTGAACTGGCTTCCCAGACATGACAGCGTCGTAACAAAAATCAGGACGGGAGGTTTTTCATTATCCACCCCTAGAGGCCCTCGCCAGGCCCCAGGACCGTCAAAAAAGGATTCGGGATGAAAAACCGGTCCCGGGGAAAGGGTCGGGACTTCCAGGGACGCCGTCTTGAACAAAACATAACGTCGCATGTCTGGGTTGTAGCGCAGCCGACCTTTCGCGGGAGGGTGGAGGGAGGGAGGAGGTCGTCGGCGTCGTCGTCCTCCTGCTCCTCCTCGCAGTCGTCCATGTTCTTCGTTGGTCGGCTGCCCTCGTGGCCCGTCTCTCCCCATGCAGGCCGGTCTCAGTGGCCGCGTTCGGCTGTCGGTCCATCCAGTTGCCGTGATCGACGATCTGGCGCGCCGCAGCGTATTGGCACTGCTCGTAGTCGTCCTCCTCGTCCTCGTCGTCCCCCTCGTCGTGGTCCTTCGCGTATTCGTTGTCCTCCTCGTCGTCGGCCCCCTCTTTCTCATCCGCCACCTTCTCGTCGCTTGCCGTCGTCCTCGTCCTCGGCGTCCTCGTCGTCGTTGTCGCCCGTCTTCGTCCTCGTCGCCCTATTGTCGTCCTCCTATTCCTCCGTCTCCTTTGGGGTTCGGCTTCCAGCGGTGTCATCACGGGCCCTTCTCCTGCTGCTCATGCTCCTAATTGTTCTGCGCTGGGTGAACTTAAGCCACGGGGCTGGAGCGTACCACGGGTGAACAGACACTGCGTGATGCCGACTTAGGCAAATCGCAAACAAATTAGACGAGGCCAGCGTAGAAAATTGAACAGATAGGGCAAGAGAGAGACGCAACCGAAGTACCCCCGAAGGCCCTCGCGGTGCTGGTTGGAGAGGGACTCCGATCCGAAACGAACGAACGTAATCAACATAATGAAATGCTCATGCAGTTTCCCTGCGTCCTAGGTCTAGGTGGGAGAACAAGGTAGCTAGGCAGTAGGATTGAAGGCATGGCTGTATGGTGTCCCTCTCACTCTTCTATCTCCCCCACAACCGCCATCGGTACAGTAATTGAGCAGGCGACTGAGAGCTCAGGGCGTTGGGAATCTCGCCCTGCTGCAGGCTGGCACTGTGTGGGCTGGCCTGGGCTGCTGCTGAGCGTGCTGCCGATGCTGCTCGGCGGGCCACAGCTGGAGGGTGGGCTGAGGCCCTCCCCACGCCGAAGGCCAAAATGGTCGGTGCAGCAAATCGCAGCACTGGCAGGTCAAGTATGACATAAACCATGCTGAAGGCTGGGCTGCAATGCTAGGCGACTGTCTTTTGTGACAGAACGACGTCGGATCCTTCCAAACCCGCTCGAATACAGGTGGGTCGCGCATCCAGAAGCCGAAGGCTCCTCGTCAGGGTGCCCTGGGGCTCTTCGCTCTGCACGCTGCACGGTGCCGTCCCGTGGCCGTGGAGGGAGCTGTTGCGTTCGCGGTGCTCTGGGCCCCCCACCCCCCCGCAGGCTGCGTTCGGCTGCTCTGCGTCCGTTCCGTGCAGGTTTCGTCTCGCCGGACCTGGGTTGCTGGTTCGGCGGCGCTCGGACCGAGGGCCAACGTCTTAGCTTGCAGTTTGTTTCTTCACTCCGAGCAGGGGTGTACACAATATACACATTATTCGTCTCCAGTTATTCGAAAGTTCTTTGATTTTTTTGGGGGCCAAGATCCTTTCACTTCCAAATGTTCTATCCTGGGCCTCTTCCTGGCCACTTGGGGGGGCCAGGAACAGTCAGAGACGAGCCCTGTCAGAAACGAGCACGATTGGAAACGAACGACGTGCACGCCACCTCGCGTGAGAGGCCCCCTCCTTCTCGTCTTATGTCGGGCCTGTCCCCCTACAGGGGGATTCTCGACGAGAAATAAAACATACCCCGAAATACCTCCCAAAACATTGCCCCCAGACTATTATTTGATCATGTGTGGGGTATGTTTCATTTTTCGTCGAAATCCCCCTGTAGGGAGACAGGCCCGACTTAACTCTCGTCGCTTCCAAGTGTTCTATCCTGGGCCTCTTCCTGGCCACTGGGGGGGCCAGGAACAGTTAGGGACGAGCCCAGTCTGACTGGGCCAGTCTGGCTGGGCTCAGAGACGAGCCCGGTGCTCGTTTCTGACTGAGTCGGAAACGAGCACGATTGGAAACGAACGACGTGCACGCCACCTCGCGTGAGAGGCCCCCTCCTTCTCGTCGCGCCGGTGGGGTCTGCGGGGCGCGGCCCGGAGGGGTCCGCGGGGGGGGGGGCAGGGCGGGGCTCGAGCAGAGGGAGCGGGTGTGCTCTCCGGCGCCGGCGCGGGGTCCGCAGGGCAGAGCGCGGGAGCACGGCAGCGGCACGACAGCGGGAGCCGCCGCTGTTCGGCGCGAGCCCCCGGGGGTCCGCTGCTGCTGATGATGGTGGTGATGATGCTGATGATGCTGATGATGGTGATGGTGATGGTGATGGTGATGGTGATGGTGATGGTGATGGTGATGATGCTGATGCTGATGCTGATGCTGATGCTGATGATGATGATGATGATGATGATGATGATGATGATGATGATGATGATGATGATGATGCGGAGGCAGATGATGATGCTGCTGATCATGTTTATGATGCTGATGATGATGATGCTGATGATGATGATGATGGTGGTGATGATGATGATGATGATGATGATGGTGGTGGTGATGATGATGATGATGATGATGATGCTGATGATGGCGATGGCGGTGGAGGAGGGAGGAGGGAGGAGGGATGGAGGAGGGAGGGGGCGGCGGGAGGAGTGACGCGGGGCGCTGCCCCCTCGAAGCGAGGGCCCAGCACCACAGGCTGGCTGGGAGCACGCCGCGCGACACGGCAGACGCCGCTCCGCTCGAATATATTCCTGGGGCACGCGAGGGCTCCCGGGGCTGCTGCGGAGAGGTGCACTCCTGGGGGGCCCCCCCCTCGCCCTGCAGGGGGCCCTCTGCTCCTCGGGTTTTGAGTCGGGCCTGGCCCTCTACACTGTAGAAGTAGTTAAACATATGTTAAACAATAGACATAGTTAAACAAATAAATGGTAACACATAGTTAAAACTTTTTTTGTAAAACACAGGGGGGAATATCCAGAAGTAGTTAAAACAAATAGTCGGGGGGGGCCATCTTTCGAGTGTGTGTTGGACCCTTTGGGAGCATGTCTTGTATTTTTTACACTGCGTCGAAAAATCCCCCTGTATGGGGGACGCGCCCGACTTGATCCTCGGGGCCCCCCCCTCCAGATGTTCGGCCCGTCGCCACGCCCGCTCCGCGAGAGCCGCGAGGGCGCAGCCGCGAGGCAGCCTCGCCGCGCGCGACGCCGAGAGCCTTCGGTCTGCGAGGGGTGTTGGTTC